TCCTCCTCCTCCTCCTCCTCCTCCTCCTCCTCCTCCTCCTCCTCCTCCTCCTCCTCCTCCTCCTCCAAGCGGTCCGAGACGACCGCGCGCAGCGCGCCGCTTGCCGCGCCCGCCAGGCAGTCATCCTGGTGGTGTCTCCCACACTCGCGAGGCGAGGCGAGGCCGTCGGCAGGGGGAGGGAATGCCATGTCCGTCCTCCGCTTCCTCGGCGTCAACCCTCTGTGGGCAAGTGGCGATAGGTTATGCGAGATTATGGGGGAGACACGGAACTTTGACGCAGTAGCATTGGCAGGCACGAAGAGTGTGGACCGTCCGCAGCAAGGGCTCCGAGTTCTACGCCAGCGTTGTGCAGGCCGACTCGTTCTGGAATCATTTTTTTCGATTCGCCGTACAGCAACAACAGTTGTGGGTGTGCTATCGGCTTTGGCAGCCAAATACGTGAGCAGAATATCATCAGAACGTGGGTCAGCCCACCAGAGGCGCGTGGCCGAGCACTAGATGCAAGAGCAAAAAGTGGTCCTATCGACATTTGTCCCATCGTCGTTTATTTTCCTCCGAGACCAAAGTATCGTGCTCAGAGGCCTCAGTATCTATCGACTGTACGTCTCTTAGTGACATGGCTGTCATGCGTGTTGAGTGAACTACCACATCGATGCACCCCACTGCTCTATTGTGATCTCAATGATGGGATTGGTCAGTCTCGTGGCTCTCATGGGTGGGAAGATGTTGGCACTTCTGTGGTTATCGATGTACCGACGCAGGAGATGATGCCTCGAGGTGCAGGAAAATTGATGCGGGAGTGCATGGAGTCTCATTTCATGGTGGCTGGTAATACAGCTGGTCAGCTTCAACATACTTTTTTGGGGCCTGAAGGCGCCTCGAGTCGTATCGACTACGTCTTTTATCCCTCGGCGATGCAGCATTTGGTGAGAGGGTGCTTCCCCTTGAAGGGGCTCGGCGCCAAACTATAAGCAAGTCGTGGACAATCGCCACGAGATCATGTACCTGTGATGTGCGCTGACTTACGACAAGGCCGGCTTGCTGGGAGGACCTATTTCTACGCAGCTCCGCTGGAACCGAGATCTCATGATGGCTTCACTTCGCCAGGGAAAAGGCAGACGTGAGTACTTGATGGCGGCCAAGGAAGAGATCGACAAACTACCTTTTGCCTTCTTGAAAGATCAGGCCTCCCCCGACGAACTGTTCGAGCGGTTGGAGGATGCACTAATTTATGTTGGACAACGAATTTTCTCACAGTCAAGTCGTACCAGTCCCGAGTACAAAGGAAATGCGGAGAGACGGCGTCAACTTCTGGCTGCACGGGTTCGTCTTCGTGGCACAAAGTTGGGCATGAGTGATGACGAAGCGCAACGGGTTGATGCTGAGCTCCGCGTTCTTTCCGCCGAACTCTCTGCTGAGCGACGTCGTGCTGCCAGATCTCTTCGCTCTCAGTTGGTGGAAGAGGCATCGGAGCAGCGGCGACGGCGGTATACTTCTGAAGCGCTCTCACTATCCAGGCGTGCGGCTCGTTGTAGAATGGGCCCGAAGAACAGAGACGGGCGCCTGGTGCAGGGGCCCCCTCCGAGTCGGGAGGAGCGGCTCCAAGTCTGGCGAGCTCCTGGGGGCGAAGGAGGTATGATGGTGGAGGAGGCAGACTGGGAAGCTTGGAGGGCTGAGAGGGAGGGGGAGACGCACGACTGGGACCTGACGGAGGAGGAGCAGGAGCTAGCCCAGCAGGGTTTAAAGTTGATCAGGTCTTACATCAAGAGGGCTCCGAAGAGGAGAGCAGTTCCCGAAGGTAGTGCACCTCTGGAGCTTTGGCACCAGCTACTTTACCCCAACTGGAGGGCGGCACAACAACAAGGGGGGAGTAGGATATGACGAGTCGATGCCCAAGGTTCCTGGGTTCTGGTGGATCCTCTCGGTGGGCCTCGCGAAGGTCCGACACTCTCAGAAGGCCCCGCTATATTGGCATCGTAGTCGAGGGGCTGGCCTACCCAAAAGCGCACAGCACGGCCCCCGAGGAAAACGAGTTGTACATGCGTTGCCTGTTCTTGGGAAAGCTTCTTATTCCAAGATGTTGAATGTTGCGCCCTCTCAGCAAGACCACGGCTTCGTCGCCCACAGGAGGCGCGAGGCCGCCATTTTCATCGCCCAGGTGACTTGTTGGCGACTGTGCCGTGTTCGGCGCTCATTCGTCATGAGCCTCAAGGATATGACGAATGCCTTTGGGAGCTCGGACTGGTCCGAATTAGAGATCACGATTGCTCACTCCACCTCGGAGGCTAACCGCGCCCTCTGCCAGCAGCGGTACGAGGATAGCATGATTGAATTAACTGCTGATGAGGGGCCCCTGTTGGTGAAGCCGTTCCAAGGTGGCGTCATGGGGGGCCCCTTCACGGTGGCCGCGTTTTTAGGCACGTTCTCTCGGGCGACGCTTCAATGGGCATACCAGTGGAGCCGGTCCGACCCGATGTCCCGCTTCTTGGTTTCGAAATGGCTGAACTTCCAGAGTGACTTGAGTTTGTTGAAGTATGCCGATGACGTAAACAAAACAGTAGTGGCCTCCGACGAGATGACCCTGGGGGACCTCTTTAGGAAGGTTCGTAAGATGGACGAGGTTTTCGACTCGGTGATGAAGCCGTTCGGGCACGTTCAGAATCTCGGGAAGCAAGAGTTTTTGACGTATTTCGCATCCCAGGGGAATCGAGCTCGACAGGTGGTTCGAAAGGGGATCGAGGGCATCCAGGGTAAAATCAAAGACAGCGTGAGGTATCTGGGCCCACACATTCGAGTTCGGGGTTCGAGTCACCAGGAGGTCACTAGGAGGTGTTCAGCTGCACGTACTGCATTCTACAGAATTGGAGGGATCTGGTCGTTGGCGATCCCCTTTAAGCTGCGCAAGCTTCTGCTGGTGGGCAATGTTCAGAATGCTCTACTGTCTGGCCTGGAAGCGTTTGTGCTCAGCAAGGCCGACTATCGGCGCCTGGACAATTGCTTGGCTTCTCTCGCTCGTATCGCGATGCTTGGTCGCGCCACGCTCAGGGAGGAAAATAGGACACGCTCTCTGACTTACCCCCAGGTCCTTCTCTATTGGGGACTGCTGGACAGCGAGTGCGAGATGAGAATCCGTCGTTTGAAGTGGTACCAGAGCTGGGCTGAGCGACCCGATCATCACATCCAACCGTTGTGCGCGATGTTCGGGGATCTTGAGGGCGAGGCAGAGCATGGGCTCCCACCGCAGTTGCTCGAATGGGGCCCCATATGAGGCAGCGTCCCCGTGGTTGTGTCAGATGACGCACGATCTTGAGTTTCCAGCGGGTGTCGTCGATAGCGAGGCGACCGATGTGCTGCTTTTAATGACATGAATGTGTTCGGGAATAAGGAGGAGATGGAGGATTTCTGCAGGATTGACATGGGGGTGCTCAGGGCTCCGAGGTCTCGGGTTCAGGTCCCACCACCAGGTTTCGTACCGACGTCAGCGGGGCTCGAGGGACCTCCTGCAGCTCCAGATGGGGATCCACAGCACGTGTGCAGGGCAGGTACGGAGACGGGCTTATGTGGAGCCGCTTTTTACACACGTAAAGCACTTATGAACCACTATCGTGCTCATCACAATGTACGTAGTCTGGAACATGTGATCACACCCACGAACATATGCGTGCACTGCAGGCAGATATTCTCGAGTAAGATCACAGCTTCACGGCATCTCTTGGGGTCTATTCTGAGGGGAAGCTGTTGTACTACGGGACCATGGGCATTGGGGGAACTACAGCAGCCTCGAACCTTCAATGTGTTCCTTGTGTCTGTACGAAGCTGGCGATCTCCCTGATCTATGTAACCATTTGGTTTCAGAGCATCTTCCTTGGAAGTTACCTCCTCTGAGTACCGCACGGTCTACACATCAGCGAGCAGCTCTCGATGGCGGAGCTGGCACTGCCGTCCTGGTTCAGCGGCAGGAAGCGAGATGGCGACACCACACCGCCGCCGAGCGCTGGAGCAGCAGGCAGCGGCGGCCAGCCGACGGGGGGCAGCGGCAACGAGCATGCCAAGAAGGGCGACGGCGAAGGCAACAAGGACGTGGCGAAGGTCGTGGCGCAGGTCGTGCGCCTCCTGCTCACCGTGACGCGCGAGCTCGGGGACGCTGCCAGTGTCGTGTTCCTCAGGTGGGACATCGCCCTCGACAGAGGGCTTCCAGCTTGCCTGTCCGCGGCGGGCAACAAGTACGACGAGCAGAGCAAGGACATGAGGGCCACGCAGCAGGCGGGGGAAGAGCAGGACTTCAAGCGCAGGGGTCCCCCGCACCTCCAGATTTTCGTATCGGCAATGCAGTATTGTGCGACGCGGACTCCTACAGCGGGATCTACGGAAGAGGTCGCGAAGCAACTGGCTCAGGACAGCAAGGAGTGGTGGCAGCAGTATATGAGCGAGGACATCTCGCTGAAAGTGATCGGCAGGGCGGTTCCGTATTTTCGTTGCAAGCCGCTGAAGAAGGAGAACAGGGCGATCATCATGATGCGGACCGACTTCAACAAGGCGATGGGCGTGGAGGCGTCGAGGATCCTAGAGGCGGTGATCGAGGCCGAGGGCGGGGAGTTTCTTCTAGGATCGGCCCCACGGGGGCCCATAGAGAGGGAGCTTAAGGCCTGGGTGAGCAAGTCAGAAGGAGCTTCAGTGGAAGTTCGCGGCTTCAGGAGTTGATTTCTAGAGGATTGGTGGCGCCAGATATTCTGGAGCGTCCAAGTCGAGCACGATCGGCTACGACGTACAGTGACCCTGGGTTGCCGCCAATCCCGACCGTAGTGCTGCCTCGTAGTAGGCCGTTGCAGGCTAGAGGGAAGGGTCGGGGTGGTGGGTCGGAGCGGGGGCGGGGGAGGAGAGGAGCCCTCTGAGCCTTTGGGCTGGCGGCCATGTGCGGGCTGCGTGCCTGTTGGCCTGCCAGTCGGGGCCAGTGCCTCAGCTGGGGTGAGCGAAGGTCTCGCCTCAGGGAGTGAATGTGGGGTCCGTAGTGACCCGCCTCAGAGTCCTAGTGCGTGTCGAATTGCGGTCTGAGTTCAGGCAGAGAAGCAGTGCGGCTTGTTGGCACAGGCAGGACTCCATGAGATGGTCTAAGGTCTAAGGTCTCCTCCTCCTCCTCCTCCTTCTCCTCTTTCTTGTTCCCCCCTCTGTTCCCTCCTGGGGCGCAGGTGTCCGCGCAGCCCACGGTGCAGTACGTGGTCGCCGCCGCCCGCGCGGGACCCACACAAGGGGGAAGCGACCAGCGCGCGAGGAATGCGGAATGACGTCTCGGGATCCAGACCAGCTCGCGCTGTGAACAAGAATCATGACGGAAGGTGTGTCCTCAGCAGGCCTCGGGACCGTCAAAAGACGATTCGGGATGAAAAAACAGTCCCCGGGAAGGGATCCAGACTTTTGAGGGTCACGTCATGGAAAAAACATGACGTCGGGAGCCTGGGCAGGGCCCCAGGAGAGGGCTCCGGCACCGCCCCAGGAAGGCCCAGGACGGCCTAGGGCTCCAGGAGAGGGGGATCGGGGCCCTGGGAGGTGGAGGAGGAGGAGGAGGAGGAGGAGGAGGAGGAGGAGGAGGAGGAGGAGGAGGAGGAGGAGGAGGAGGAGGAGGAGGAGGAGG